GACCTTTTGTGGGGGAGATGCAAGAAGTAGCGATATACTCCATCTTAACACCAGACCTTAGGTTAATATAAATATTGGGATGTGTGAAATTTTAAGATAAGCTGACTCTTACAAAAATTGTTACCCTTTGTGGGGGAGGTACTTCATGGAGTAGACCGATATTGTCCATTTCCGCACCTCGCCTAGCGCTGACGCAAATATTACGATTTGCAATGTTAGAGCAAAATGAGTTTATCCTTTCTCTTCCTGTGCAGAAAATATATTTTTTGAAAAATCCGACCTTTGGACCAAATCGGATACTCCCTTCGAGAGTTATAGTGCGCACCAGCCAGACAGACAGACGGACGGACGAACATCGCTAGATCAACTCCAAATGTTCTGAAACGGAATTGATTCAAAGAGACTTAATGTCTTAAAACGTTGTTTCGAATTGGCACGTTTTGACGTGTCAAAAGATATATACCCTCTCTAACCATATGACTGAGGATATAACAAAAGATATATACCCTCTGTAGCCATATGGCTGAGGGTATAAAAATCAAAATCAAATAGAATCTGTGTGGTTTAAAAATGTTTGCCGAAACCTTAAAATACCGAAATTCAAGAGGTACCTTTATATACAACTCAAACTTGATTTTTTCCAGAAATATTTGCAGGTGTTATAAATCGAATGGCATATCCTTTATACCTATAACTATTCCACGACTTTTTACCCATCTAAGAAATCTGATTAATTTACTTATAACTTTATATTTTTAGTGTAGGTCAACTCCTCTGAACAATACTAAACTGAAGCAATGAAATGTCAACTAAGGATTTTATAGATATATCATTTTAGGGCTCCATAAAATGAACTATTCAACGAAAACTCGAATATTGGTTCTGCGCTTTTAATATAACCACTAAGGGCTTTCAATAATCAAATAATATCCCACATTCCATTTATTGATCTCCATGTCACAAAAATTGAACTTGTGTCTTACTTTTAAAGAATAAAATTCTGTTCCTTCAAAGGAAAAGTTCAAACTGCCTATTAAAGCTATAAAATAATAGGCATTTTTAGGTGGAAACGATAAATATGCCACGCATAAAATACATATGCATGTATAATATAAATTTACGATTCGGCAAAAAATAAGTATACTAAAATCCCATAAAATATTTATGTATTAAACTATTGTTTAAGGTTATTTTATGGCCACATTCCAAGGGCTGGCCATTTTTTTTGGGAGGAAGACAGTGTAAGGTCACACACCACTTATGTTATAATCTATCGTCCAGGTTCCTTTTTAACTCAAATTCATTCTCTACGATTTTATGTATTTTTATGATTTCACATTTATTAGTTGTGTTGGCTTTTATCACAGACACTAGCAAAAGGTGATGCGAAAAAATGCCACGGTCATTGAAATGATTGTTCAGCAGTAAATTTGAATGAAATTGGTACTCCTCACGCCTGATTTTATGTCAGTTTGAGGGGGGAGTTCGGTTGTTTGAAAGATTATATTTTGAATTGGGAAATCAGGCTCGTAATGAGTATCTGCAAAATCCATCAGATACTAAAGACATTTTATAACAAATGGTATTAGTTTAGTTGGGTATGTGTTGTCGTCCACTTCGATTGGTATTAAATGGGACATAAAACACCACCAGAAAGTCTATAGTAATGCTTTAAACAAAAACATAAGCAAAAAAGAGAAAAAAGAATATGTCAAAGTTTTTTTTTTTTGCGGATACACTAAGATTTACTTAAGAAAACAAATATTCTTGTAAAATTTAAAATTATATAACAAATCATAAACTCACATTACCGAAGAGTAAGTAAGTACTAACCCCTTATATTAACATGGTCATATCATACCATTAATAAAGTACTTACAAAACTTAAGTAAAAAAAATAAGTTAAACAAGTAAAAAATACCCTCAACCATTTGGGGCGAATTTTGCAATTTTCAAAAAAATAAAATCCGTAAAAAATTCTGTTAAAATCTTAAAAATACCAAATATAGCCGTCATATTGGGGTCCAAACGACAACGTGGACCTGCATAGGCAACTTTTGTCATAAGTCATTACAATATTTAAATGCGAAACTTGAAAAATTATCGGTGAATTATTTAGGTAAAATCATCAATATAGGGAGGCGCTATTATATGGGGGCTATACCAAAATGTATATTTCGATGTGTTACAAACGGAATGACAAACTGAATAAACCCTCCATACTATGGTGGAGGTTATAAAAAGTAATCGTTCCGTATTTAGTACACTATAGTTGATCTTCGAATAAATTTTACCACACTAAATTTTTTTGCCCTCCGCCATACACATTATGTTTATGAATCCGTTTGTAACTCATCGAAATAATCATTTTCGACTCAATAAGAAATATATATTCTCGGTCAGCGTGAAATTCTAAGTTGATTTATCCACGTCTGTCATACGTCTTTTGTAATCACGTAGAAATGGCATGTGGCAGAGAGCTAAGACATTGAATAGAGCTTTATTTTGTCTATATCATTGAACGCCTTTGTATAGCCCACATAGAATTGTACCTCCTCGTATTGTGTATTTTGATTTTTATATTTTATCCACAACTTCTAACGGATGAGTTTAAAGTTCGACATTTGGAGTTTAAAATGGGTTCTAACTCCTTTGGCAGAATATTGTCTATACATGTCCAAGTTTTCGTATTGCCTCTAATAATATTACGTAAAATTCGGTATCGTAAAGTTTTCTAGATCTGCATCAGAACAATTTTTGTATAGGTCAACTTTTTCTATAGTATATATCCTCCCGTTATTCGATATTTTGATGATTTTTGCAATTTTAATGTATTTTGTTTGCAATTTGGATTATATGTTCCTAACGACAGAAGTAACGCATACACCTTACATGCTAAAATTTCGTTGTTTACAAACATATTTATACCCTAAACCACACTGTGGCCAGGGTATTATGTATTTGTGCATTTGTTTGTAACATAGAGAAGGAAGCGAGTTAGACACATACTTCCTTTTGATGATGTGCATAGAATCTGATGTCCGATTTATGCATATCCGTCCGTCAGTCCATGTATTTTTATAAACAAAGTACAGGTTGCATTAATTGTCCGATCAAGATGAAACTTTGCACAGAACATTCGTTTTGTCCAAGAGCGAACTCTGTTTTAAATTGGAAATAATCGGTCAAAATTTAGATACAGCTACCATATATATCTTGGCCAGATTTGCTGCACCAAACGTGTTATATTAGTCCAAATATGATGGAATTTGGCACATATGACCAAATTGAGCATAGAAAAATTGTGTCAAATTGTGTGGAAATTGTGTGGACATCGGTTCAGATATAGCTATAGTCCACATATAAAATCTTCATCTTGTTACATTTCTTTTCCACAGCCGTAACATGCACTCCATAATAACGATATTGGGTGAAATATATCAAATACAGCTCAGAAATACATTTGCCTTTGGGATCGGTTCAGATTTGGATATAGCACCCACTATATATCTTCACTCGATTTCCAGTTTATTGTTCACCAAAACGTTAAAATAAATTCGAATTAAATAAATGTTGTTACATTATAACGAATTCAGCCTGGAAGAAAGTGTATCAAACTTGGTGAAAATCGGTTAAGATATAGCTATAGGTCCCATATATCTACAAACTAAGTAATATCAATTAAACTTGGAATTGTCCTCAACCCAGTGGATAATGAAATTATTACGTATTCGAATCTCTAGAGTATTTCTTCCTTTGACACTATCCACGAAAACTGAAGTATTAAGGAAGATTTTAACTATGAATGGAAAAGTTAAAGCAGTAAAAAAGTAAACATATAGTTTTCCCTTCTAATATAATAACTTAAAATTAATTTTCCCCAAAACTATTAAAAAAAAACAATATATATCTATGTTTATTTTCATATTTATAATAAAATATTTAGTAGAGTATTTCTTCTTTTGACATGTGTTTATTATTTTTAACTCTACTTTCCTAATCTAAAGAATTTTACCTGTAATTATTTTTTTTGTATTGGACACTAATATATGGTCTACATATTAGACTTAAATCTAGCATTTTTTGAGAAAACGTTCCACTGACGGAGAAAACGATATGTCAAAGCAATGTCAGTTAGAAGTTGTAACCTTAAAAAAATCAGGTGATACCATATCTATACAAAGGTCGATTATAATTCTAATCTCCATAGTATAGTATAAAATGGACTATGGCCTTATTTAACTCTCATATCATTAAAACAATTTATTCGCTGTAAAAACAGGGCTTTTAAACATAAACCAAGCCATCGGTGTAATTTTTCCGTTCCCCCTACTTTTTTGCAAATGCCCACAACCTTGGCTGTCATTGGGTCAGATTATTTAATCCGATTGTATACACATATTCGCAAGCCATAGCAAAACAGAAAGTCTCACCATAAAATCTACTAAACCACCCCTATTCGGTCAAACAACGCCACCTCCCTCCCCACCTACTTTCGATATAAAATCGGCTGATGCCACTTTCACTCCCACTGCCACGCACCCTGGTCTTCTTGTAGTGTTTTAATGCTTTAGCGTGAATATCGCTTGTGGGCACCTTTTTTCTCTGTTCCGTATTAAAATTTTGTTACATTTTATATTTTATTGATTTCAATTTCATTTTAATTTCATTTAGCTCAGGGCCATTCAAGACAAACTTTTGCATATTACTTTGCATTCATTTTCATCATTCTGCTCATCCGTCCGTTCATGCATCCCCTTTGCCTGTTCACTGTTCAGAGTTTCCTGTTTCAGAATTTTAATAATTTGTTGTTTTTCTTTCTCGCTCTCTATTTGGAAATTGTGCGACAAGTCAATGTATCTATCCATGAACTCGTCGACTCAGTCGGGGGAATGAATGGATGGATGAATGAACGATGAATACTAATTTCTAGTACATTAAAGCCTTGTTCACCACCGCCCCGTCCCACCATGGTATGGCATATTCGCCGCTCCACTTACCATCACTGCATTGCGTTTAAAGTCCATGAAATTTTTCACCTCTGCTGCCAATTCACGCAAAAGTATGATACCGTCCTTTCGCTTGACTTCGATGTCGTTGTCTTTGAAGCGCTGCAAGAGATAAGAAACACAAAGAGAATATTATTTAATGCGAGTGAATATTATTTCATAGTTTTATGATTGAGATATTTTAACAAAACGAAACTGTAGTAGCATATGTCCATGATATGGGTTATTAATAATTTCAACATCCACCCTCACTAGGAGTGTTTATAGAGGTAGATTTAATGGGAATGTATGGATAATTTCAAACTTCATAAAAGTTATTTTCCAGAAATACAAAATCATGATGATTTGTAGATAGTTCTAATAACACAAATGCTTCAATACTTCTGGTCATTTTCAGTACATTACAACAGTAATTAACACCTCCTCCTCCTAATTAGAGATATGTAAATCCATTTCTGATTAATCAAATACAGTGCAACACGAATATAAGAAACTGATTAAAAATTGTCAATTTTTGACTTATATGAATGTATTTTATATAAGAAACTTGTTTTTTATTCTGGTGCATCATGAAGCAGATTATCAAATATCAAACTGTATGTACGACCCATAGTGCTTGTTTTTGATGTCATATAAATTGAGCGCAAATAGTCTTTCAGACATATTCATGCACAGTTTTTCATTCCTACGTGGATTTTTTGAGCATTTTTCACCGATTTAAGTCTTGTCAAAGTTCTTATATATAATTACTAGCTGAACCCGGTGCGCTTCGCTACCCCTTTTGATTTTATATGCATTCAAAATTTTATTTACGAATATATGTTGGTTAAAAAAAAAAAACAAATTTAAAAATTAAAAAAAAATTATTGCACCACTTTAATGCGTAAATAACCAAAAGCATTAGAAAAGCAGTAACATGACATACATACACGAAGGGTTTGTCCTTCGGATTTATTTATTTCATAGCAAATACCAAGCGTGCAATCTTTTGAAGTTGAGTGGCATTTCTATTGCAATTATGAATTCGAGATAGCAACATACTTCTCCGTAATAAGCGTATTTCAAATCAATTGTTGTGTTGTTTTTTGGTGTTAGCCTAAGGCGTTGTGGGTCAATGGTTTTTTTTTAAAATCATATCCCAATCTGATCCGATTTAAATAAATTTTAAAAAAACTACTTTTACACCAAACTCCGCCACACCTTTCATATTTCATTGAAATTGGTGCGTCAAATATGTGAAATCGGCCGAGAATATATAAGGGAGCTATATCCAAATCTTAATTTCCAATTAATTTTTTCACATTTATTATTGTAACCAAATTCCGCAACACATTCTGAATTTCATTGGTATCGGTATATATATCATGTTTGGTGCATAACATGTATGAAATCGGCCGAAATATATATGTTAGCTATATCCAAACCTCAACTGATTTCAATATAATTTGGCAATTTTTTCAGGTGCCAGATTTTGTCTCTCTCGCTTTGTGTGCATCAAATATGTGAAATCGGCTGAGTATATATATGTATATATATATATACTCAGCCGATTTCACATATTCTGAGCGTATTTGAATATAATTTGTCAAATTTATTTTTGTACCAAACTTAGCCACTCATGCCGAATTTCATTGGAATCGGAAATACGTATCGTGTTTTGTGCATTAAATATGTGAAATTGTAGGAAAATATATATGGGAGTAATATCAAAAACTGAACCGATTTTAATATAATTTGACTAATTTATTTTCTAATCAAAATCCCCTTACATATTCCAAATTTCTTTGGAATCGAACATACATATCGTGTATGTTGCATAAAATACATGAAATCGGTCGAAAATATATATGAGAGCTATATCCAAATCTGAACCGATTTCAATATAATTTGGGAAATCAATTTTTTAGGTAAAATCTATCACACGTTTCAAATTTCATTGAAATTGGGGATACATAGCGTGTTTGGTGCATCAAATGCTTGAAATCGGCCGAAAATATATATGGGAGCTATATCGAAATCTGAACCGATTTCAATATAATTTGACAAATTTATTTTCGGATTAAATCCCGTCACACATTCCAAATTTCATTGGAATCGAACATTCATATTGTGTTTGAGGCATCAAATGAACGAAATCGGTCGAAAATATATATGGGAGCTATATCCAAATCTGAACCGATTACATTATATTTTGGCAAACTTATTTTTGTTCCAAATTCCGTTACGTATTTCAAATTTGGAGACTGTATCTTCATGACATGGTGTTTTGTTTCTTTTATACCCTCCACCATAGTATGGAGGGTATACTAAGTTTGTAATTTGATTTATAACACCTCAAAATATACATTTTAAATCGAAAGATACAAAAGCCCGCCATCTTTAAAACATTCTTTACTGGTTTCTTTTGATCTTCGCCTTGTCATAAGTCAAAAATAGGGTGATCCTTTAAGAGCTATAGGAAAATTTTTCTAAAAATGCATGAAATGGCTTGTCACAATGACGTTATCATTTGCCTCATCTTTGATGAAGTACGGACCAATAATGCCATCATAAACCTCAACAAATTGTGACATTTTCTGGATGCATTTTCCTGGATCGCTCCATATCGACAAATTACCTACCCAAAAATGAACTTTGCCGCTGAACACAAGAATCGAACGATGAACTTTCTTAATAGAGAAAGCATTTTGACAATACGATATGTTGTTCGATTGTCATACGATTCATGGTTAAATTATAGACCGAATTGGAGAAATGTAACAGTTAAACAAAACACTAAACGTGTGTGGAATTTTTAAACCAGTTTTGTCAAAAAGTAGCTAAAAAATACTTTTTTATTTCATAATTCACAGTTAAACAGCACCAGCTTGTTTAGAACATTTTTTACGCTGTATAAATCAAATATTATTGTTTACCAGCTGGTTAAGTTTGATTGAATTTCTACTAAGTACAGTTATTACATGCTAGTTGTATCGAACGAACTACCGTTTTTAGGAAATCCCTGAGTATCAGTGATATGAAATATGTGAAATCACTCATACGTTAAGGAATTGGTGCACTGAACTATGAACTAAATAGACACAGCTCTACTACCATGCTTAACTACATGTTGCATCTCTCTGATGCACAACATAAAACTCGTTGACATTGGTCACCTTTGGCATGAATTATGGCCTCCAAACGGCCAATGAAGCCGTCATACGCAACCCTAATGTTGCTCTGCGGTATTTTGGTCCATTCCCGGCTAAGCGCTTGCGTGAGGTGATCGAAACTTTGGTATTTTTTAGTGCCAACCTTGTTTCCAAAATACTCCAGACACAGTAGTCCAACGGATTGGTATTCAGAGATTTTGGTGGCCATTGTGCGCACCCTCCAGAATATTTTCGCGATAATATTCGGCAATTATTCTAATGCCACGGTCGATTAATACAAGCGGAGAGCGACCAACGGATGTTTGGCGGCCCACATCATCACCATGCTTGAATTCTGGTGGCCAACCGAAGGTGCATATTTTCATCTGACCTCTTTGGCAAGTAAACACGATAATTTTGTTTTTTTTTTTACAAACTACTGGACAACGAATGATTTCTCATCGGAGAAAACCAAACTCGGCAGTTCACCACGTTCGGCCTAGCGAAGCAACTCTTTAGCTCTTTTGAGTCTTTTTTACTTTCAACTGCGGTGTAAGTTTTTGCACACTTTTTGGAATTTCAATGGCTCATTTCTCAAGCTCATTTTTTCAATATTTGCGATATGTTCAGCTCACGAGCCATTTTTCGGTCACTGCGACGAGGGCTTCGATCAAGTCTCTTCTTTACTTTTCGAACCATTTCTTCTCAACGTTTTCAAAAGTTTTTTTTTTCACATTTAAATGCTGGAATGCTCTAACGATAGCCACTTGTGGTTTTCCAGTCAAATATATAGAAAACACACTATCACACTTAAATTCCATCACGAAGAATTTTGTTTCTGGAAAATTCTCACCAAAATGCTTTTGTACGCTTGTAAACAATATAATAAGCTGTCACTGAAATAATTTTAACAGCTGTCGGACGAGTGGCTTAGAAATGACAGCAGTCTGAAGTTGGTTGAAGTTTTTTCATCTCACCCTATATATATTTTTCATCTGATTTGTTATATTTGTTCTCAACAGCCCTTATATATTTAAACTGTCTCAAACGTAAAAAAATGTCGTTGAATACAAGAAGAACCCGATAACCTTTCTTAACAGAACACGAAGTATGACAATATAGTTTAATGAATTGCAAGCGTTGTTCGATTGTAAGACGATTCATGGTTAAATTATAGACCGAACTGAAGAAATTTAACATTGAAATAAGAAAGTAAACCTGTGTGAGGCTAGTTTAGCCAAAAAGGGTAATAGCTAAACAAAAACATCCTTTTTTATTTCGCAATTCACACTTCAACAAGAGCTTGTTTAGAGCATTTTTTACGCTGTATAAATCAAATATTCATTTATTTATTCATTTTTATTTTATTTATTTTTAGTTTTGACCAGCTGGTTAAGTTTGATTGAATTTCTACTAAGTAGAGTTGTTACAAACTTGTTCTATCGAAACCCCTCAGTATGAGTGACATGAAATATGTGATATCACTCATACGTTTGGGAATTGGTACACTGAACTATGAACTATGTTGACACAACTCTACTATTATGTGTGATACTAAGTGTGATCACACTCATTGACGCACAACATAAAAGTCGTTGGAGAGTTTGCAAGCATAGACCACGATGCAGCCAAAAATGTTCGGAAAACCTTAAATAAATAATCCTTGAAGGAGGTATTCACCTCAGCAACATGGACGAGACTGATCTATTCATATGGAATGAAAAAAGATTAACTGCAGGACCAAAAACTTCTAAATACAGGTTTATCATTCTTTTACCTTTCTTTTCCCTAAGGGCTTTGAGAAATGTAGCATCGTTATGTTAAAAATTTTGACAATTTAACGAACGATTTTTTTATTAAATGAGATTTAAAATTGATTTGTAAAAATAAAAAAACAGGAATTTTGAATGAATAAAGTTGATAATTTCTTCTTTCAAAGGAACAAAAAATGAGTCATTTTGGGATGAAAAA